TTAAACAATTATGAATAATGCTGCAATAAACATGGATGTGCAAGTGTCTTCCTGACTGAATTTTTTCCTGTCTACTGGGTAAATATCAAGAAGTGGGATAACTGGGTCATATGGAAGTTCTATTTGTTTTCCATACAAACTGAACTAATTTGCATTGCCCCTAACAGTGTAAAAGGGGTTTTCAGCACAGCCTCTCCAGCACTCATTGTTCTTTATTTTTTTTTAATCCCAATCATTCTAACTGGGATTAAATGGTATCTCATTGTGTTTTTTTTTTTGGAGAGGTTTTTCACTATAGGGCCCATGCGCTCGCCAGACAGACAGAGAGAGACATAGAGACAGAAAGCGAGAAATCACCCCCCAGGGGGAATGGTCACGCCACAATCCCTTCTCCTCCATTCTCCTCTCGGGATCTTGGGCACGCAGGCACACACGCCCGGCATGAGTTTTAAGCCACCGGGTCCGGGACACGAAGCGGTCGACTACGTGGGAGTCCAGCGACATAGCCATTACATTAACTGCTGGTTCCCTCTCATTGTGGTTTTAATGTGCATTTCCCTTATGGCAAGATACTTTGAACATTTAGCAAAATCAGTGCTAAGAGGAAAACTTATCGTTGAAGATGACTACATTAAAAAAGAACTAAGATGTCACATCAATTACCTAACTTGACAGCTCAAGAAACTAGGAAAAAAAGATGCTAATGAGAAACCAAGCCGCGCCTCCCTGAAGCTGGCTGCGAAGTGCTGAGTCACGGTGAGGCGACTGGATTGGCGTGGTCATAACCGGCCTCCCTCGCACTCAGGGCCGGCTCCCGCGTCCTCCGCCGACGCAGAAGCTCCAGGTGCTGCTGCAGCGGCCGCCGCCTCAGCCTCGGAATACTCTCTCTTTAGACTTCAACATGGGGTCCTCCAAGAGGGTTACTCTCTCAGTGCTCAGCCGGGAACAGTCGGAAGGGGTTGGCGCACGGGTCCACAGGAGTATTAGGAGACCTGAGTTAAAAAATCTGGATCCATTTTTACTGTTTGATGAATTTAAAGGAAGTAGACCAGGTGGATTTCCTGACCACCCACATTGAGGTTTTGAAACAGTGTCTTACCTCCTGGAAGGGGGCAGCATGGCCCATGAGACTTCTGTTGGTAAACTGAACCCAGGAGACCTGCAGTGGATGACAGCAGGCAGGGGCATTCTGCACGCCGAAATGCCTTGTACAGAGGAACCCGCCCATGGCCTACAACTATGGGTTAATGAGGAGCTCAGAGAAGATGGTAGAACCTCAGTACCAGGAACTGAAAAGTGAGGAAATCCCTAAGCCCAGTAAGGATGGTGTGACAGTTGCTGTCATTTCGGGAGAAGCCCTGGGAATAAAGTCCAAGGTTTACACTCCACACCAACCTTATATCTAGACTTCAAATTGGATCAAGGAGCAAAGCATTGTCAATCCATTCCTAAAGGGTGGACAAGCTTTATTTATACCATATCTGGAGACGTGTATATTGGGCCTGATGCTGCACAACAGAAAATAGAACCTCATCACACTGCAGTGCTCGGGGAGGGTGACAGTGTCCAGGTGGAGAACAAGGATCCTGAGAGAAGCCACTTTGTCTTAATTGCTGGAGAGCCATTAAGAGAACCAGTTGTCCAATATGATCCGTTTGTGATGAACACCAATGAAGAGATTTCTCAGGCTATTCTTGATTTCAGAAATGCCAAAAATAGGTTTGAAAGGGCCAGAACTTGGAAGTCAAAGATCGGGAACTAGTAAAGAACACAAGAGCAGATCTCCACAGTTTCTTAGAATTTTGCTCTTTGTGACATCCAACCATTCAAGGCATTCAATTTCTAAAGCTGACCAAGCCAGCATTTCCTAAGAATTCCACATTAAAGTGATAACACAATTTTTGTAGCAATGCACATAGGATGTTACCTGGCACATGCAAATAAACCTAATCGTTGCTTCCTTAAAAAAAAAAAAAAAAGAAAGAAAGAAAAGAAACCAAGCAGAAAAAATAATATAGAGAAGTAATAAATAAGAGTTTAAGACATAAAGAAAAAACCTGGGAGTCAGCAGGTGGCGTGGCGGTTAGGGTGCTGGACACTCCCACATGGCCAACCATGGTTCAAATCCCAGACCTGGTGGCTTGCTTTTTCAATTTCCCTCTCTCTCTGGTCAAATTAAAATAAAAGAATAAATACATAAAATAAATAAGTCTTTTAAAAAGAAAAAGAAAAAAACTGATCATACTGAGTTGGTTTCTTAGAAGATCAATAGACTTTAAAAAGTCTCTGCTAGATTAATGAGAGAAAAGAAAAGACTCAAATACTAAAAGCATAAATGAAAGAGGTGACAATATAACTGATGTCACAGAAATAAAAATGATTATGAAAAAGAAGGAACAACTGTATGCTCAAAATTGGACAACCTAGGTGAAACATAAATTTCAGATGAGCTACAATATTAAATCATGAAAAATAGAACAGTTAAACAGAACTGTAATTACTTAAGGTGACTGAATCAGAAATTTAAAAAAAAAAAAAAAAAAAAAACTCCTCAAAAAGACAATTCCAAATTCAGATGACTACTGTGTGCCCTATCATGGAAATTAAAAGGGTATTTAACTCATCAACTCAGGGGTCATCTGGGAAGAATACCGAAAGTGTTACCTAATGGTATTTTTGAATTATCAGCTAACAATTATACATAAAAAGCTATAGATAGAGGGCCAGTAAGTGGTGTGGTGGTTAAGGCATTAGACTCCCACAATGGCCAACTGTGGTTAGGGTCCCAGACGTGGCGGCTTGCTTTCTCACTTTCCCTCTCTCTGTCTTTTCTGGTAAGTGTGCATACCCTGCAGCAAATTTTTAAAAATAAAAATGATAAATAAAATTAAATAATTCTTTAAAAAAGAAATAATCTATAGATCGAATCACTGACATAAATTTACACAAAAGTACAAATGATAAAACTCTAAGCTGGTTGTTATTCTTTGCATATGTTTTCACTGACCCCTGTTTAAACATAATTCATTAATTCCTGAGTGCTACCATGTGTGGTGGACAGATGCGCACTTCAAGAGGGACTGAATCTCATCATTGAGCGCACTCCAGGTGTTGCCAAGAATGGCATTTCCGGTGTAACAAACTACTGTGTTTGTAAGCACCAACAGCTCCATCTCTTGTTTACAGGTACTAAAATAAAACAAAACAAAAAACAAAAGTAGCAGGAGCTGACATTAGATGAGACTAAACCTGAGAGAGAAGGAGTTCAGGGAAAATATCCCATTTTAGTGGACAAAGTTACTAAGATGTAAGGAAAGAGAGGAGGATGTGCTTTTCATTTTGAATTTTGAGCCTGAGGTGCTTTATGATAGTCAGAAGGAAGCACTCAACAGGGAGTTAGATCTCTGATGTCAAGGCTGGAAAAAAGTACAAGCTGTAGAGACACAGAAGTGCAGACCACAGAGGATCACATCAGTTGGGAGAACTGCAGAATAAGAAGGGGTTCAGAAAGCAAGGCTCCAGGTCCAGGATTTGAACTGTAGTTAGCCATGTGGGAGTCCAGCACCTTAACCACCATGCTACCTGGGAGCAGCGTGGAGGCCACATGTTGCCTGGAGTTACTGTAAAAGACGTGAACCAGCAGGAGTTCGTCAGAGCTCTGGCAACGTTCTCAGAAAGTCCGGAAAGCTGAAAGTCCCTGAATGGGTGGATTCTGTCAAGCTGGCCAAGCATAAGGAACTGGCTCCCTATGATGAAAACTGGTTCTACACACAAGTTGCTTTCACAGCATGGCACCTGTATCTCTAGGGCGGTGCTGGGGTTGGCTCCATGACCAAGATCTACAGGGACAGCAGAGAAACAAATGTCATGCCTAGTCACATCAGCCGAGGCTCCAAGAGTGTGGTCTCCGGGTCCTTCAAGCCCTGGAGGGGCTAAAAATGGTGGGAAAAGATCAAAATGAGAGCTGCAAACTGACACCTCAGGGACAGAGAGATCTGGACAGAACTGCCAGACATGTGGCAGCTGCCAACAAGAAGCATTAGGACAGATGATGCTGGGTTAATAAACTGCCTGATTCATAAAAAGAAAAAAAATAATAAAGGGTTCAGTTCAGGATGAAATATTTGGAGGAATATGGTTAAGAGCAGAAGAATTCAAGGAATCAAAAGATATTATCAGAGGATTTCCAGAAAACCATGTAGGGTAGTTTCAAACATGGCAGAAGATTCAACTAAGGAAAAGACTAGGGAATAGTCATAGGAGTTAGATTATTAGAGAACTTTTTGAAGAACTGACCTAAGACTACACTGAGTGGATTAAAATGTTACAGGCAGTAAGAATATTTGCCAGAAATTATAACTTGGAAAAGTTCTGTTTAAGCTGCATTTATACAGAAGCTGAGGGAAATGCATGAATAGTTACTTAATAGTTACTTAAGTACCTGTGGTTATCCTCTATCCTCCAGACATTCCAGATTTTATCTGTGAATCAGGTACAGCCTTCTAATAGTTGTCTAGGACCACACTATTTTAGTAACACCAGAAAAATGTTATTGTGCAACTTTTACTTGAGCACTAGGTAACCATTTCGATTGCTGAATGCTTAGTGTTATTTCCTGGATTTTTATTTTTTTAGTGAAAAACTTTCTATTACAACATGTATGTGACCAATGAAGATGTTTCAGCATTTGAGGCCAGATAGTCTCATGGCTCATGGGATTTTTAGCATGCTGTCTTCTCAGGTTCTACTCCAATCATGGAACAGATGGGCCTGTCTTTTTGATAAGCATCAGAAACATCAGAGACAAATTTATACTCAACTTAGGACAATTTGAAGGCCCTATAATCTGTCTCTATCTGCATACCAACTTTATCTTACTTATGTGTATTTCCCTGATGCTCAGTTTTACTTATTTCTGCTTTTCCATTTTAGTTCATGGACCCTATAAAGCTCATAAAATACAATGTAAAACAAAAGTGAGGAATCAACAAACAACTCACCAAACATTTATCCATTTTCTCTTGCTCTTGGAAACACATGCAAGGCTCTGGAAAGATAGCTGGGAGAGAAGGTGAATGGAGTGAAGTCATGAGAGAAATGGCATAGCTTGGTCCTGTATTTTTCTGCTCAAAACTCTCTACACATGATCTGGAAAAGAACAAAAAAAGTCCCTATGGGAGAAAAGTCCTTTACTCCTCAATATGTGACAAGAAAGATCCACAGAAGATGCAATTACATGAATTGATATAGATTGGTCATATAATTATTGGGTTAATGAAAACATACATTATTATAAACCGATTTAGCAACTATTAATGTTGTCAAAAGAAAGAAATACATTTACTAAAAATTAACATTACAGAAATGTTAACTATTTGGTTTGTATTAAGTATTTTCCTATAAACAGGATACTAAACAAGCACCCATGAGTATTTCCACTGCAATACCTCTTCTTTCATATATTTAAATTTCGTGGAAAGCATATACATCACAACTCACCATTTTTCACCTACAATTATACAGGGTAAAAAAAATGTACATACTGTAGTTTTTTTCTGTGGTACAAGATTGCAGCAATGGTTCCCCAAAGCATTGGCCAACTGGTGCTTGCTTTTCTGAACACGGTCATATTGTGAAAAAGTCTAGAGCTATCCCTTGGAGGCATAGGGCATAGTCAACAGTATAAACCACAGGACATTTGAATGAAACTATCGTAAACCAACCAGACTCAGTTAAGACACTAGGTGACTAAATCCCCTTTTATGTATCCAGGCAACACTAGCATAAGAACTTCCCAAGTGAGTCAGCCCAAATGCTGATCCACAGAAACAGAATCAAATTAAATGGTTCTTTTTAAAGCCGATTTTGTTTAAAATGTGTTACACAACAAAAACTAATACATCTGAGTTCAGGAACTCAAACTTTTTAACATTTTGGGGAATGGGAGAGCAATCTTAAATTACAATAATTAGAACTTCACAATCAAATGTTTGAAATTTTGCAAAGCACTATAAATATCAACTGGATTGACTTCACCGTGGTTGAACCCATATGAATCAAAGCACTGTCTACAGATTAGAAGACTGTTTTGAGTGTTTTATATCATATAAATAACTTGAGCCTGTTATTTATATGAAGGCATTATACTGTTTTATTTACATTTTACTGATTTGGAGTAAAAGTGTAATGCAATTTTATTTTCTCATTTTAAATTAAAAAAAAAATTCGCTATTATTTTTCCTGCAGAATTTATGATTTTTAGAACCAGATTACTGAAATTCAGTGGGACATTTGTTACTACACTTTAGAGGTCACATAATCCACAGAAGTATTAGGAATAAAAAGGAGTAAGCATATTAAAGACAAGATATTTTAAAGCAAGCAGCCAACAGGTGGCGTGGTGGTTAGGGACATTGGACTCCCACATGGCCGATCTCAGTTTGAGTCCCAGACCTGGCAGCTTGCTTTCTCACTTACCCTCCATCTCTCTCATTCTGCCTCTCTCTGATTGTTCACCTCTCTTTACACAGGTATGGATACCCTCTGAACTCCTTTAAAACATATTAATGCTATTCTTAAATTTATTAAATGAGAAATTTTGCAACATACTAATCTTACTAAGAGTTCTTTTGTCTTCCACAGTTCCCACCTACAGCTTCCCCTCAAAATATTCTGCAAGTCTTCAGAGCTTCCACTAGACACTGTTTAGTCCCAACATTCTATTATATAAAACTGCCCAATCCCTACTCAAAATTTATTTTAAAAAGGGGGAATAATTGGAAAATAACAAAAACCTATTACTTACATAATTACATAAATAATGTTCTGATATATTACTTTTAGAACTCCAGTTTTATGAGAAAAAAATGTCCAGGATTGGTGTTATGTAAAAATCAGACATAAGTACTTGTGAACCAGTTACTTTTACTTTCTGCTTAGTAACAACTACAGACAGAGAACATTTTCATAAGTAATTTTCTGAGTTAATTATGGCAAAATGGGTAAACACTAGCCTAAAAATCAAGATGCCTGGTATCTACATATCATGTCCCCTTGAAGGCAAGTCCTTTATCTCCTCAAATCCAAAGTTTTTCATCTTTCTTATAAGGCAGAAGTACCTCAGCAAAACCTTCCTGAACTACCAGGAATAACTGTCAGGGCAGAGGGCTCATCAGTATACCTACAGATGCCAAATTTAGACTAGGTTTAAGAGAGCTCCGACAATTCTGAAAGAATAAGAGTGTGTTTAAAGAGCACTGTGAACAGATTTTTTAAGTGTGACAGGTTATTCCTCTACCACAGACCACACTTTCAAGACTCCTTCAATAGGGAACATTTTTCTAGGTCTTTGCCTATCCATTTCAGTCCAACTCACTTCTGCCATCTTAAAGTTGGTTCGAACCTTCCAATAGCACCCAGCTGCTGAAAGCTTACAGAGGAGGTAGTATTACCAAAATCTTGTTCACCATGGGGAGAAAGATCAATAACTGCTTGGGCTATGCATAGCTGGGATCTTCCTTCTTGAACTCTTTGGTTCTGTTCTGAACTTGTACCAAGAGGGTGAAGGTCATGTGGGTTCTTTCAGATAAGATTCCTATTCATGGGACACCCTCCTTCAAACTCTAACACTATTTTATTCCAAAGAAAATGGACCATAACAGTACCTTTACAGAGTTCACTGTCCCTAGAAACTAGGTCTTGAGTAAGCTCAACTAGGATGCTAACGAGGCAACCAAATGAAGGAGGAAACTGCACTTAATAGATACGACGAAATCCCATAAACAGGACTGTCGCAAAGTAAGACTCGGCCTGCACACATTGCACAAAGACTTTGTTGTGAACTGGGAGCATTTCACTAGTTCTGGTAACAGGCTCACCTTACAGACGATTGAACTGAATGCCACATGCTTAGTAACAGGCCCCCTTAGGAGAGCTGTCATGTGAACTGACACCCCACACCTCCCACGCTCCGGCAGTCTGCGGACGCCCCCTCCTCGTCGCCATCTTAAATTCGACCACCCAGTCAGGCGAGCTTCTGGAACAAGGCTTTGTGCACACACCCCGCCTAACAGCGCACCACCTTCTGACAAAGCAATCACTGGACCCGCTACCCGAGGCGCCCCCCTGCAGTCCTGTGGCTCCCCACTTTGCCGCGGGTCTTGGCTACCCGCCCAGGTCCGAGGCTCGCACCTGCACTTCAGCTCCCGCCGGCCCGAGGTCCAGAGGCTCTCAGCTCCCACTAGGCTGATGGGCACCAGTCCCGCCACCCTGGGTGTCCCGAGGCCCGGGGGCCTCCTCTCTCACCCTAGGGCCAACCTTCACGGACACAGCATCCAGTCACAGACGCCAACAAGAGAGAACTTTGCGAAAGACGACGAAAATGGCGCGAGCGGACTGAACAACACAAGCGCAGACGAAACCGGAAGAGCCCTTTCTTCAGTCCGGTACTGATTACGTCACTGGAGCGCGAGACTACATTTCCCACAACCCTCCGCGGTCCTCCGTTAGCCACAAACGGAGGAAGTTTTATTCCTTCGTGAGTCCTCCTCGCCCTAGAGCCCAACCTGCTGGGTCAGTACGGTTTCTCCCCGCTTGACAGCGACGTGGAATTCTGCTGCTTTATTAAATAGTGCGTGAGAAGACATGTGGGGCAAACGGGGAAATTCCAATAATAGCCCAACCAGGGCACAGTATTAATAGTTTTAAATATTTTGGGGCCAGCAGTTAGCGTAATGGCTATGTCGCTGGATTCCCAGGTAGTCGACAGCGGTTCGAGTCCCGGACCCGGTGGCTTAAACTCACGCCGGGCCCGTGTGCATGCATACCCAAGATCCCGGGAGGAGAATGGAGGAGAAGGGATTGAGCTGTGGCCATCCACCCTGGGGGGTGATTTCTCGCTTTCTGTCTCTCTGATTCTCTCTTTCTGGCGAGTGCGCACGCCCTATAGCAAAACCCTCTCCAAAAAAAAATAGTTTTAATTACTTTTAGTTTGGCTAAAGTTATTGTGTTTTATGAGAGAAAGAAAAATGTTTTGACTGAATCTCCAGTGTCATCCTGCCTGCCTGCTCCTCCTGCCTTGACCTCAGGTAGCTGAGACCACAAAAATGCACCCTACTTTTGTACTCCCCATACACTCCCTTTCACTAAATTGCACAGTTGTACCTGAATCTCCCAATAACCTAGACTATTGGTATACACCATATCTGGCCTTTTTAGATTGGTCGTGTAAGCGAACCCAGATTTCCCAAAAAGTGTCCTCAGCCTCTGGGCAGTGGTGTCTACAAGCTTGCACCAACCCAGCTGGGCTGCTTGTCTGTATTTTACAGATGCATTGTGAAGCACAAAAAGTCATGTCTTTGTTTTACTTCAAAATTTTTAACAAACAAGAAATTAGTATGTTAACTCCCTTTGAGCCCATTAAGATATTCATTCCCTTGGGACGAGCAGTTGGTGTAATGGCTGTAACGCTGGATTTCCATGTAGTCAACTGCAGTTCAAGTCCCAGACCCGGTGGCTTAAACTCACGCCGGGTGAGTGTGTGCATGTGTGCCCAAGATCCCGAGAGGAGATGGAAAAGGGATTGTGGCATGGTCATCCCCCTTGGGGGGTGATTTCTCGCTTTCTGTTTCTCTGTCTCTATCTTTCTGACAAGCATCCGCACCCTATAGCAAAAAACCTCTCCCCCCAAAAAAAGAAGATATTTGTTTCCACCAGCTAAACTGTTTTGCAAGTCTTCAATGTGTTATAGCACTTAGTGGGACTGCTGCTATCTATGTACTGGAATAAAGATCAGGGTCATGGGGTAGGTGTGCTTCATAATCTTTGTGCCACTTCACACTGCAGTGTGTGATGATTATTTGTCTAGACTCCTTGTGTTTTGTTTTTTGTTGTTGTTGTTGTGTTTTGTTTTTGTTTTTGTTTTTTTGCCATAGGGAAAGTGCCTTCCCCTGAGAGGAACAGAGACAGTAAGAGGGAAACTAAGAAATCACTCGGTGGGGCGGGAGGAGGTGAAGGGGGATGGGGGGGAGTGGGGGGATGGCCATGCTGAAATCCCCTCCTCCATTCTCCTCCTGGGATTTTGACCAAGCATCCACATGCACCCAGTTTGATTTTCAAGCTGCCAGATCCGGAACTCAAACCACGGTCAGCCATATGAAAGTCCAGTGCCATGCCACCTGCTGGCCCCTAGACTCCTAAAGTTTTTTGTGGGGGGAATTTTTGCTATAGGGCTCATGTGCTCACCAGAGAGACAGAAGCAGGGAAACAGAAAATGAGAAATCACCCACCACAATCCCTTCTCCATTATCCTCCCATGGTTTTTGGGCATGCACGCACACACACCTGGTGTGAGTTTAAAGCCACCTGGTCTGGTACTTGTACCACAGTAGAATATGTGGGAGTTCAATGACGTAACCATTATGCCATCTGCTGGTTCTGACTCCTAAATTCTATGTACCCATCTATCCATCTGTCAAATCTATAGGATTGTGTCAGAGAGAGAGGTCTGAATTTTGTCCTCCTTTCCTGATTTCTTCCACAAAGTAGGCACAGTTCTATACAGGGGCTTTCTTAGAGTTTCTACTAAAACTTCTTCAAACAGGAGATAGATGCTGCGCTTGAGTATGGGATGAGGGGTGTGTTTAGAAGAGGGACAAATTTGGAAGATAGGTGGATGTAGCTTTAGTGTTTATGTTAAGTGGAAGGCTTTACTCTTGCCCAAGACTTACTCTGCTTTTCTTTTCCCAATATATGCCCTGCTTTGGTCAAATTGCTGCATTTTCTCTTATCTGAAGAGTTGCCACTTAAATGACTCTGTTCTACAGATCCAAGGAACTTTTTCTTGACTTTCCCAAACCCCACTTGCTCACACTTTGGTATGTTCAGCCTTTCTTCCCCAACCTCCTAGATCCCATGTTTCTCAAACACCTATTGGTATGATGTATTCATGTATGGAAAAATTGGATTAATTTCTGCCTAAAGAATGACTTGTACACATATTCAATACTTTATTCCTTCTGACAATATACTTTTTAAAAAATAATTCTTTAATTTTATTTATTCATTCATTTATTTTAATTTGACTAGAGAGAGACACACAGAGAGAGAGACAGGGAAAGTGAGAAAGCAAGCCACCAGGTCCAGGACTCAAACTGTGGTTGGCCACGTGGGAATGTTCAATGTCTTAACTACCACACCACCAGCTGGACCCAACAATATACTTTTCAGGGACTTGAAAAAAAATTTGTTAACATTTAAAATATCTGTATACGAGGTCAGCAGGTGGCATGGTGGTTAAGACGCTGAACTCCCATAGGGCCAACCATGATTTGAGTTCCAGACTTGGAGGCTTGGTTTCTCACTTTTTTTCTTTATAATATCTCTCTCTCTCTCTATCTCTCTGTCTCTTTCTTTGTATCTGTCTTTGGTGAGCACACATGCCTTGCAGCAAATTTAAAAATAAATAAATAAATGAAAATAATTTAAAATAGGGAACCAGCAGTTAGCGCAATGGCTATGTCACTGGACTCCCACGTAGTCGACCGTGGTTTGCGTCTAGGACCTGGTGGCTTAAAACTCATGCCGGGCGCGTGTGCGTGCGTGCCCAAGATCCTGAGAGAAGAATGGAGGAGAAGGGATTGTGGCGTGGCCATCCCCCCTGGTGGGTGATTTCTTGCTTTCTATCTCTCTGTCTCTCTCTGTCTGTCTGGCAAGTACACATGCCCTATAGCAAAAACCTCTCAAAAAAAATAAATAAATAAATAAATAAAAATAACTTAAGTTTCATTTTTTTTTCTAATTGCCAGAGGGCAGATGTACTTACCATTGAGAGAGAGGGAGAGAGAAAGAGAGGGAAAAAAGTACCCCCAATGGGGCATGGTCACGTCACAATCCCCTTTTCCTCCATTTCTCCTCCTATTGAAATTTGAGGCACACATGTATATGCACTTGACATGTGTTTCAAGCTGCTGGGACCAGAATTCAAACCCTATGTGGGATCTGGCTCCCTTAACCTCCCTAGGTTACTGGGTCAGCCTGAGTTTAATATTGTAAGATCTACTCTTCCAACTTTCTATTCCTTATAGTTACTAATTCTACATGTACTGGTCCTCATGGCCAGAGCCACCTTGCCTTCTGTCTCAGCCCAGATGTCTTCTTTGGCCAGGCCTTCCCTGACAGCTCATCCAAACTTGATCATGGACATGGCACCCTGTTTGATTTTCTTCATGGGGTCAGCACTAGCAGGTGTGACCTTGATTAGCCATCTGGATACTTGTCTGTAGTCTTCCTCTACCCATGCATGGGAGCAGAGACCTGCTTGTTCCGTTCTGTATCCCCAGCACCTAGAATAGTGAATTGTACTTCCTAAGTGTCTTTGGAGCTAACATTTGAAGCGGGAAGTAAATAGGTAAAGGACTTCAGGGAGAGGACAGAAGTTATGCTGGAAGAACATACTAATTGAAACTATGATTATGGGCATTTTGCCTATAATTCCTTATGTAGTCCTATACATAACTATTTTGGGATTAATTGCACATTTACAAAAGAGGATAATGTGGTTCCGAGATATTTAGTAAAATGATATACTTAAATGGCTAAACTATGACAAGGCTAGAATTAGAATCCCACTCTGCCTTTTTCTTTTTCTTTTTCTTTTTCTTTTTCTTTTTCTTTTTCTTTATTTTTTAAGTTTTGGCTATAGGGCATGTGTACTTGTCAGAGAGAGACAGAAAGGGGTGTGTGGAGATGGTGGAGATGGCCATGCTGCAATCCTGTCTCCAGGATTTTAAGCCCACATGCACACATGACCAGTGTGATTTTTCAAGCTGCCTGATCCAGGCTCAAACTACACAGCTGGCTATCTGGGACCCAGTGTCTTAATCTCCATGCTACCCGCTGGCCTACCACTCTGCTTTTTTCTGAAGTTCTAAAGATATTCATTTTCAGGGTACATATCAGAACTAGATTGTACCAGGAATGTCACCTCTCAGATGAGATTTAAGATCACACCTTATCACTCCATCCTGCCAGCTTAGTGACACAATCACTGTGTGGAAGAGATACCACACAGGGATCTTTCTCCTTCCTAGGTGCAAAGAGAAAAAGCCATGTGAGGACACAAAGAGAAGGCAGCCATCTGCAGGCCAGGAAGACAGGCTTCATCAGAAACCAATCCTGGTTGCACCTTGATCTAAGAGCCTTAACTACTATTAGAGATCATCATTGGGTCACTAAGTGTACTCAGAGTCTGTCTATTTTCCTTTACAATGGACGGAGGTAGCAAATCTAGACATGCACATGTATATACATATGTATATATACAAAGATTTACACATATAAGTATACTTGTACATGTATTCATAGTATACTTGCACATGTATAATGATTTGTATAGATGTACACATGTACATGCACTCCATTTATCTAAATGG